GAAAGGGAAGGAGAGAGAAGCCAACGATGTGAGAGAATCTGACCAGCTGCCCGCTACAGACCCCACTGAGGAAGGAGCCAGAAACCTGGGCATGGGCCCTGACCAGGATCGAAACATAACCTTCTCATTCATAAGTCAGCGCTCAACCACTGAGCCACGCCGGCTGAGCAGATTGTGTACTTTTAAAGATGGGGAGCAGTAAATGACATGGGAGAGAACACATGGCCCCAAGCCGGCTCTGACCCTCTTCAGCCTGAGGGAAGTTCACTGCGGGTCTCGGGGGGGGCTGTGGGTGGGGGCTGTGGGTGAGGGGCTGTGGGTGGGGGGCTGTGGGTGGGGGCTGTGGGTGAGGGGCTGTGGGTGGGGGCTGTGGGTGAGGGCTGTGGGTGGGGGCTGTGGGTGAGGGCTGTGGGTGGGGGCTGTGGGTGGGGGGCTGTGGGTGGGGGGCTGTGGGTGGGGGCTGTGGGTGAGGGGCTGTGGGTGGGGGCTGTGGGTGAGGGGCTGTGGGTGGGAGCTGTGGGTGGGGGCTGTGGGTGGAGGGGGGCTGTGGGTGAGGGGCTGTGGGTGAGGGGCTGTGGGTGAGGGGCTGTGGGTGGGGGCTGTGGGTGGGGGCTGTGGGTGGGGGCTGTGGGTGGAGGGGGGCTGTGGGTGAGGGGCTGTGGGTGAGGGGCTGTGGGTGGGAGCTGTGGGTGGGGGCTGTGGGTGAGGGGCTGTGGGTGAGGGGCTGTGGGTGGGGGGCTGTGGGTGAGGGGCTGTGGGTGGGGGCTGTGGGTGGGGGCTGTGGGTGGGGGCTGTGGGTGAGGGGCTGTGGGTGGGGGGCTGTGGGTGAGGGGCTGTGGGTGGGGGGCTGTGGGTGGGAGCTGTGGGTGAGGGGCTGTGGGTGGAGGGGGGCTGTGGGTGGGGGGCTGTGGGTGAGGGGCTGTGGGTGAGGGGCTGTGGGTGGGGGCTGTGGGTGGGGGCTGTGGGTGGGGGCTGTGGGTGGGAGCTGTGGGTGGGGGCTGTGGGTGGGGGCTGTGGGTGGGGGTCTGTGGGTGGGGGCTGTGGGGGAGGGGCTGTGGGAGGCTGTGGGGGGCTGTCGGTGGGGGCTGTGGGTAGGGGCTACCGGTGGGGGGCTCTGGGTGGCAGAGGCAGCAGCTGGATGGTACTACCCTCTCTGGAGGGCGCTGCAGAGGGCCCCAGGGTGCCCTCCAGTCATCGCTGGGGTGCGGGGTGCTGGCTGCCAGCCCTCACAGCCAGCTCCTCACAGGAACCGCACCGCCCTCCGTGGGGATGGCTCTCCTCAGGTCCATTGATCTGAGGGCCCCTCCTCCTGGGGACCCTCTGAAGAACCACCTGCTCTCCCTCCCCTGTGGAGGCCTCCCTTGACCAGCCCAGCCCCTTCCCCTCCCACAGTGTAGGTGGTGAGCAGGGCCCCATAAACCTGCACCCACAGCTCCAGCCCAGAGGCGGTTCCAGAGAACCGGATGGAGACGTCCCTCTGGTTACTCCCCACACAGCGCCCAAGCGCCCTGTCTGGTCAGATCACCCTCCTGCTGAGGCCTCCTCAGCATCAAAGCCCTGCAGGGACCCATGATCTGGACCTCATCTCCTCCGGCGTCATGCCCGGGCCCCTGCCTCCCGCTGGACTGGTCCTCCCCCTGGAACGCATGGTGCCACCTATCTGCACTGCTTCCTCCATGGCCGCCTGCAAATCTTGTCTCAATGGGGACTTCCCTGGCCCTCCATGGAAGCTTCTAGAACTCCATCTCCCCTCGGAGCTCCACACCCGTCCCGCTTGAGTGTCCTCCGCAGACACATCAGCACCTCACACATGCGAGTATTTATCCCGGCTGTTTAATGTCAGCCTCATCCCCGAGGGCCCTCCCCGTCCTCCCCACTGAGTCCCGGAACCCAGCACAGCCCATCGCACTGGGGGCACTCGAGGGCATGGAGCGCAGTGTGGGCTCAGCCAGGGATCTTCAGAGGAGTCCCCTAACCAGCATCTGCTTCTCTTCCAGAGAAATGGGGACAATACTTAAGTCATCCTTGTAAGGATTGTGCAATACAACATTTGTGAAAGCATCCTATCTAATAAAGAGGGAATATGCTAATTGACCATCACACCCTCAAAGATGATGGTGCCCACAGCCAATAAGGAGGAAATATGCTAATTGACTGTCACACCCTCAAAGATGGAGGCGCCCAGGGCTGCCCAAGGCTCAGGTAACCAGAGCCTGCCGAGGCTTGCGCTGCCGGCAGTGGCAGCAGCAGAGATGTGATGGGGCATTGCCATCCCCTGATTACTGGATTACCTCCTGCCCCTGAGGACTCCCAGTCTGAGAGGGGACAGGCTAGGCTGAAGGACTTCCCTCCAGTGCATGAATTTTCATGCACCAGGCCTCTAGTCATATAATAAACTGCTAAAAAAAAAAAAAAAAAAAAAAAAGTAAAGTATCATTTTTATTTAAACTGAATTCTCCATCATCAAGCTACTTAATTTTTATATTCTAGACTTGGTGAATTGCCAAAAAGCAAGCATATAACATTCAGACACAGAAGACCTTGAAAATGGTCTGGTATTGAAATGAAATATATGAAAATTTATTCCAAAGCCGTATCCCAAACCCCCAAATGTATAAACTATGAAATGCATCTCTTTTAAAGACTTAAAAAAGGGCAGTCATGACATTGTGAATTTTATAACATTTGAAGGCTTCTTTTTGCTACCATAAAAGTTAATTCCATAATGTCAAATGTACTTTGTTTATATAAAACATATTCTCTCTTTAAATATAAAATATTCAAATATCATAGTTTTGTTATAAAATTGTTCTCAATTTCTGAAACTCTCACATCTATTACTCGCAAATAAATAGAATCCCATTTCCACGCGCTTCTGAGAATGAGGTAAGAAGATAGCTCTTCCGATGCTGATGTCTAACTAAAAGCTTGGCACTGCCTCAGCCCCTCCTGCCACGGTGGAGCTTGCTTCCCTGGCCCACGCCCAGGAGACATGCTCTCTGTGACTGACGTGCCCTCCCGGCCAGACTTGGCATCCTGCACAAAACACACAGCAATTCCACTCATTTATGCTCACGTTGCCATCCTTTCCACACAATTTCAAGACCCAGATCAAAGCTACTGCTACAGCAGGGCACTGTTGTTTTTGCAGATATTTCCATAAATATCCCTGACCTCTCGAAGACTGTTCTACCCCTTTAAGGCAGGGGCAGCAAACTTGTTCTTAGCTGGGTTAGGTTGCTCAGTCGTTCCCTGTGACACATTACTCTTTTCTTTAATAACTCTAAAATGTACAAAAGTTCTCACCTATGCTGTGATCTGCTAATTTTAAAAGACTTTAAAAAACAGAAGGCACCAGCCTCTATCTACATTAGACAAATCAGATGCTAATAACACCACATTTCGCAGTAAGAGAAGCCCATGTTTTCTACTGCAAAAGCAAGCTGACCAACAGTCGGAAATGAGTCCCGTTCCGATGGGCTGCACTTCGGACATGCTCTCCGTCGACGGCACCTCCTATGGCTTCTTTGCATTTGAAGTGAATGATGCATTCGTGTCTTTTTATAGGAGAGACTCTCCATGGGCTCTCTGCAGCTTGCACAAATACCGGAACATGTCCTGAGAGGGTGGGACTCGCACACAGGCACTGCAGCTGCAACGCCCCCCGGAGACCAGGTCTGACAGACATGCTCCCAGCAGGAGCCATGCAAGCCGCTGGAAGGTGCCCAGGCGGTCCCAAAGATGTTCGGGGGTGCCTTCACCACACAGCGCATCGTGGGAAGCCTGATTTGCATATAAAATATGTGACTATAAATTAGCACAGAAGAGGTTCATCCAGGCTCCTGATAGCAGCTGAAAAGACACAGCAGGGAATCAGCGCGGGTCTGGGCTGGGACAGAGTGAGGCTGATGGGCTTACAGCACAGATGGCCCAGCACGGAGATTCACACCCGTGTGGGGAGGGCTGAGGGGTGTGAGTGTGTGTGTGTGGGGGGGGGGGTGAGTGGAGTGTTAGTGTGGGTGTGAGTGGGTATGTAAGTGTGTGTATGTGGGCGTGTGGGGATGTAAGTGTGAGTATGTGAGTGTGTGTGTATGTGAGTGTGTGTGGGGGGGGAGGTGTGAGTGGAGTGTTAGTGTGAGTGTGAGTGGGTATGTAAGTGTATGTATGTGGGCGTGTGGGGGTTTAAGTGTGGGTATGTGAGTGTGTGTGTGTGTGTGGAGGGTGTGAGTGGAGTGTTAGTGTGAGTGTGAGTGGGTATGTAAGTGTGTGTATGTGGGCGTGTGGGGGTGTAAGTGTGGGTAGGTGAGTGTGTGTGTGTGTGTGTGTGTGTGTGTGTGTGTGAGAGTGTGTGTGTGGAGGGTGTGAGTGGAGTGTTAGTGTAGGTGTGTAGGTGTGAGCATGGGGGGTGTAAGTGGGTATGTGAGTGTGTATAGGTGTGTGAGAGTGGGTGTATGTATGTGTGTTTAGGAGATGGGTGTAAGGATGTGTGTGTGAGTAGGTGTGTGGGTGTATGGGTGTGTTAAGTGTATGTGTGGGAGGGTGTCAGTGTGGGTGTAGTGCTGCATGCTTCCCTTTCCTACCACAAACAGTGCTCTGAATAAATTGTGGCAAATAAAGGCCATGGTGAATTTACTCCTACATCATCACCAGGTTGGAGTCCCTAGAATGACCACCCCCCCCCACCCCCACCGAGTGTCTCCCAGGACCAGTGACAGACTTGGGCGCTGAGGAAGCTGAGTCTTGGGTCCCCGAAGAAGAAAACTCCATCCTCAGGAGCCATGGCCGTTTCTGAGCTACAAAGTCATTTCAGTGCAAAAAAGAGTATCTTGACAAAAAACAGTGACACGAATATCACACGAAACAGTACAAAGCCCACAAATAGAGGGGCAGGCCGGTCCAGAAATATCGCCTAGGAACATGGCCGCCGGGCTGAGGGGCTGGAGGGGAGCCTCCCCAACTCCCAATCCTACACACACACACACACACACACACAGCCGCAGTCACAGCTCGTCCCGCCTGCTCCGCCACGGCCACTTCGGGTGTCGCCATACGTGGTCTGCGGCCTGCAGGACGAGGGCCATGAACTCTTCGACGTCGAAAGAGTAGTTGGTAAACTTGGGATGCTCCCCCAGAGTGGGGTGGTGGCCCTGGAAAAGCAAACGGAACACGTGTCTGTCAGTCAGTGGACATGGCTTTCTGACAGGAAGAAACTACTTTACTTTGGCCAAAGCCACTAACTTACTGCGTGCTCTCCCTCGGAAGTCAGCGAATACTTTTTGGTAGAGTCCAAAGAACACATATTCAGCTCTGTGGACCACAGCCTCTGTCATGTGACTCAACTCTGCCATCGAAGGGCACGAGCTGCCAGACAACACACACACAGCGGGCACGGCTGTGTCCCAATAAAACTTTATTTGTAAAACCAGGCGGGGGGCCAAATTGGGCCTGCTGGTCTCTGGTCCGCTGATCCCTCTTATATGTGATCAGGCCCCAATTTCATGTAACATTAAAGATACAGAGCAAATAACTACCCTCTTCCTCCAGTTTGCTAATATGAGACACAGCTCAGTGTTCCAGAGAACAACTTCCCTGTGCAGCTCACAGCGGTGTTTCACACTCACAAGGACACACGTCCCACACAAGGCGGGGAAGCACTTGCCTTGTCCTGCGGGAAGACCTTGCTGGGCCTGCGCCAGGTGACGTAGTGGACGCCGCGGAGCCGGGCCAGGTCCAGGTAGCAGCGCTGGTCCCCGCAGTTGTACCTGCCGGGCAGCCACAGTGAGACGTGTCGCAGTGTGTGCCCCGCCCACAGTTCTCTGGGGAAACACGCACCTCCCACACAGCTTCTCGCAAAAGGTCGTGTGCACGGGGAACAAGGCTAAGGAGGGTTACAGGTGGGCAACACAGGCTCACAGGGGTCAGTATGTAAAACAGTTTATTCGAGTATTCTCATTTAATAATTACCAGAGGCCTGGTGCACAAAGTTTGTGCATGAGGGGGAAGGGGGCTGTGTTCCTCAGCCCAGTCTGGGCCCTCTTCAATCTGGGATCCCTCTCACAATCCAGGACTGCTGGCTCCCAACTGCTTGCCTGCCTGCCTGGCTGCCTGATTGCCCCTAACTGCCTCTGCCTGCCTGCCTGATCACCCCTAACTGCACTCTCCTACCTGACTGATCTCACCCCCAACTGCCTCTGCTTGCCTAATCTCACCCCCAACTGCTCTCTCCTGCTGGCCTGATTTCGCCCCCAACTGCCCTCCTCTGCTGGACTGGTTGCCCTCAACTGCCCTCCCCTGCCAGCCTGATCTCTCTCCCCCAACTGCCCTCTCCTACAGGCCTGGTCACCCCCAACTGTCCTCCTCTGCTGGCCTGGTCACCCCTAACTGTCCTCCCCTGCAGGTCAGTGACCTTGGAAGTGTTATATATATTTGAGTAACACAGGAAGGCAGGCAAGCAAGCAGTGGGGAGCCAGTAGTCCTATATTGTGAGAGGGATGTCCGACTGCCCGTTTAGGCCCAATCCAGGTAGGATTGGGCCTAAACGGGCAGTCGGACATCCCTCAAGGGGTCTCAGATTGGAGAGGGTGCAGGCTAGGCTAAAAGACACTCCCCGACCCCCTGCACAAATTTCATGCACCAGGCCTCTAATAAATAAATAAATAAATAAATATCTTTGGGTGAGGATTAACCAAAAAAGAAAAATGCTCAAGGTCACTAATGATCAGAGATGCAAATAAAAACTAAAATAGGCATCACCTCACACCTGCAGGAATGGCTACCATCAATCCTATATAATAAAAGCCCAGCAACCATAATGGTGTAACGACCAGAACGACCACTCAGTCAGTAGCTATGAGGTGCAATGACCACTTCTCAGTCCCTCCCCACAGTCCACAGGCTCCAATTGCAGCATGGCAAATGGGGACCCACGGGAACCGGGTGAGAAGCGGTGGGACAGGCCTGGGAACTGGTGAGCAGGCGGGAGATGGCCTGATCACAGGCTAGGCATAGAGATCCTACACATACACAATTTCGTGCACTGGGCCTCTAGTAAATCAATAAAGGAGTATGGTGAGGATGTGGAAAAGGGTACCCTAGTGCACTGCTGGTGAGAGTGCAGACCGGTGCAGCCACTGTGGAGAACAGTATGGAGTTTCTCAAAAATTTTAAAATGGGCCAAAACTGGTTTGGCTCAGGGATAGAATGTCAGCCTGTGGACTGAGGGGTCCCAGGTTCAATTCCAGTTAGGGGCATGTACCTTGGTTGCGGGCACATCCCCAGTAGGGGGTGTGCAGGAGGTGGCTAATCGATGATTCTCTTCATCGATGTTTCTAACTCTCTATCTCTCTCCCTTCCTCTCTGTAAAAAATCAATAAAATATATATATTTTTTAATTTTTAAATGGAACTGTCTTTTGACATAGTGATCTCACTTCTGGGAATACCCTAAGAATTCTAGAACACCAATCAGAAAGAATATATGCATCCCTATGTTCATAGCAGCGTTATTTACAATAGCTAAGATTTAGAAACAGGCCCAAGTGCCCATCAGTAGATAAGTGGATAAAAAAAAAAAACCTGTGGTACATTTGCACTATGAAATACTATGCAACAGTAAAAAAAAAAAGAAGAAGAAGAATCCCTTAACCTTTGAGACAGCATGGAGGGACCTGGAGAGTATTATGCTAAGTGAAATAAGCCAGTGAGAGAAAGACAAATATCTTATTATCTCACTCACATGTGGAATCTAATGAACAAAATAAACTGATGAACAAAATAGATCCAGAGACATAGAACCATGGAACAGACTGACGATTCTCAGAGGGAAGGGGTGGGGCAATAAGAGATTAACCGAAGAACTTATATGCACATATGCATAACCCAGGGACACATACAATAATGTGGTGAAGGCTAGGACAGGGGTAGGACAGGGAGAAGGGAATGAAAGGGGGGGCAAGAGGATGGGGGACATCTATAATAAACATTAAAAAAATAGTAAAAAAATAAATAAATAAATAAAAGAATTCAGATTCACATCTCCCACTGAGACAGGGAGGAGCAGGTGGTTTGCTTGCTAAGTGAAATAGTAGGCTGCAGCCTTCTCCTTTTCAGTATTCAGTCTTTTTTCTTCCCAGATGCCTATGATGTGGCTTCCCTGGAATGATTAGTGCTTAGCCTTTGGATGTGATGAGCGGAAGTCTCAGCGTGCATACAAAGCATCATGAGCTGCGGCAATGCAAAACCGCCCCAAATACTTACAGCTCAAACACGGCAGCCCAGTCCGGAAGGAAGAGTAAGTGGGTAAGACCAGCTCCATGCATTCCAATAAATATATCCGTGTTGTGGGTGATCCTTAGCTGATCTAAAAACCCAAGTTCCCTGTGAATAGACAGAAGACAGATGGAGAGAACAAAGTATAATATTAAGACCAGTTGAGCTCAAGACTCATAGTAACAATATTTATACAAGTGTCTTTCCCAATTTAATTCACAGTCCACCATGATCTTTTTGCCAATTTCAAGCCTTACTCCAGTATTTAATAACTTAATAAGTCAGTAATTTTACATTTCTCCCAAGTAAACACTTCTTTTAAAAACGTAAATGCATTTATCCTAGAAGGAACCTTTTATAGCTGTCTTGAGTGGAAAACTAGTAACACAGGCCATAAACAAAATTGTAAACATAGATATAATCAGCCCCAGCTGATTTGGCTCAGTGGATAGAGCATTGGCCTGCGGATTGAAGGGTCCTGGGTTCGATTCCAATCAAGGGCACATGCCCAGGTAGCAGGCTCATACCCAGTAGGGACATGCAGGAGGCAGCTGATCAATGATTCTCTCTCATCATTGATGTTTCTATCTCTCTCCCTCTCCTTTTCTCTCTGAAATGTATTTTTTTAAAATAGACCCAGAGACACAGAAGCATGAACAGACTGTTGAACCTCAGAGGAAAGGTGGGGGTCAGTGGGTAGAAAGAGCTCAACCCATGAACTAGTTGGCATATATTCATAACTATGGACATAGACAGTGGGGTAGTGAGGGCCTTGGGTGGGGGGCAGCGGCAGGCTGGAAGAGGTTAATGGGGGGATAAAAGGAGCCTATGTAATACTTTGTACAATAAAGATTCTTTAAAAGAAAGAAAAAAATGAGATGGTCAGATAGCAACATGAGGCCTGGAACAGCGCAGAGCACTCGCCCTGTGCCAACCTCACTGCCCACTTCACTCACTGCTGGCCTCCGCTGCCCTTCCAGCCCAGAGGGTCAGCACTCCAGTCCGAAACCCTTCTCTCCCCGCTGACGCATTCAAGCACAGAGACACCAGCTCGGCCCAGGGTGCTGATCACTTACTTATATTTGTAATCGACGATCCGGACTTCAAATGTGGAGACTGTTTTCAGTGCGTTCACGAGCTGTGAAAGCAACAGAAACATGTGAAATTTCTTTTCCTTCCCAGTTTTACTTGTATTTGAGTTCTCAATTTCTTTTTTCTCTTCCTATATAATAAAAGGCTAATATGCAAATTGACCAAACGCTGGAACGACTGGTCACTATGACTCACACTGACCACCAGGGGGCAGATGCCCAATGTCTCCTGCCCTCTGATGGTCAGTGCACTCCCACAGGGGGAGGTCTGCTCAGCCAGAAGCCGGGCTCATGGCTGGCCAGTGCAGTAGAAATGGCGGGAGCCCCTCCCACCTCTGAGACAGCACTAAGGAGCAGCGAGCCAAGTGGTAAGGAGTAGTGAGCAGGTGGGTGGTAAGGAGCAAGGGGTCCCGGACTGCAAGAGGGATGTCCGACTGCTGGCGTAGGCCCGCTCCCTGCCATCGGTCGGACATCCCCCAAGGGCTCCTGGACTGCAAGAGGGCACATGCTGGGCTGAGGGGGACCTCTTCCTAGTGCACAAATTTTGTGCACTGGGCCTCTAGTATAAGATATTTTTCAGGTTCTAAATGCCTCAGGTCCATTGTTCTAACGTTCACTGAATTCCCAGGTGCGCTGTGACCCTGGACACATGACTCCCCGAGTTCCACAGTGTCTGGTTCTGAGGCTGCCCAGACCCACTTGGGTCAAAGTGCTCGGAGGGAGGCTGGCTGCGTGCCAGCTCTTACTCCTACTATTTGCTAGTTTTTCCCTCAAGTTCCAGCCTGTAGTTCCTGGGCCCTTAGCTGGTTCCATTATGTTAAGAATTTTCTTTCTATCCATTTTCTCATTTCAGACAAACCATTAGTGCTTTGGACTTCATCCTCTGGAAATACTAAATTCTTGGCAGAAAGACATTTTTAATATTTCTACACAGAGAAACAACTGTTCTTTTAGCAAAGAGCAAGTAAAAAAGCAAATTAACCTATTAGGAAAACCAAAGCCGAGGTTTCCTATGTCCCTGAGAATTAGGCCACCTTCATCCAACACCGTGACTCCCAGCTCTTCACATATGCCTGCACCTGTGCCTATGCCGTGCGCCCTGTGTCCGGTGCCCTGTGTCTGTGTTCTGTCTGTATCTGTGTCCTGTGCCTGTATCTGTGTCCTGTCCCTGTGTCTGTGTCCTGTGACTGTGCCTGTATCTGTGTCCTGTGCCTGTATCTGTGTCCTGTGCCTGTGCCTGTATCTGTGTCCTGTGCCTGTATCTGTGTCCTGTGACTATGCCTGTATCTGTGTCCTGTGCCTGTATCTGTGTCCTGTGCCTGTGCCTGTGCCTGTATCTGTGTCCTGTGCCTGTATCTGTGTCCTGTGCCTGTGCCTGTATCTGTGTCTTGTGCCTGTGCCTGTATCTGTGTCCTGTACCTGTGCCTGTATCTGTGTCCTGTGCCTGTGCCTGTATCTGTGTCCTGTGCCTTATCTGTGTCTTGAGCCTATGCCTGTGCCTGTGCCTGTACCTGTATCCGTGTCCTGTGCCTGTATCTGTGACCTGTGCCTGTGCCTGTGCCTGTTGTGTGCTGTAACTGTATCTGTGTCCTGTGCCTGTGCCTGTATCTGTGTCCTGTGCCTGTATCTGTGTCCTGTGCCTGTATCTGTGTCCTGTGCCTCTGCCTGTATCTGTGTCCTGTGCCTGTGCCTGTATCTGTGTCCTGTGCCTGTGCCTGTGTCCTGTGCCTGTATCTGTGTCCTGTGCCTGTATCTGTGTCCTGTGCCTTTATCTGTGTCCTGTGCCTGTGCCTGTGTCCTGTGCCTGTATCTGTGTCCTGTGCCTGTATCTGTGTCCTGTGCCTGTATCTGTGTCCTGTGCCTGTATCTATGTCCTGTGCCTGTGCCTGTGCCTGTGTCCTGTGCCTGTATCTGTGTCCTGTGCCTATATCTGTGTCCTGTGCCTGTATCTGTGTCCTGTAACTGTATCTGTGTCCTGTGACTGTACCTGTATCTGTGTCCTGTGCCTGTATCTGTGTCCTGTGCCTGTGCCTGTATCTGTGTCCGTGTCCTGTGCCTGTATCTGTGACCTGTGCCTGTGCCTGTGCCTGTATCTGTGTCCTGTAACTGTATCTGTGTCCTGTGCCTGTGCCTGTATCTGTGTCCTGTGCCTGTATCTGTGTCCTGTGACTGTATCTGTGTCCTGTGCCTGTATCTGTGTCCTGTGCCTCTGCCTGTATCTGTGTCCTGTGCCTGTATCTGTGTCCTGTGCCTGTGCCTGTGCCTGTGCCTGTGCCTGTGCCTGTGTCCTGTGCCTGTATCTGTGTCCTGTGCCTTTATCTGTGTCCTGTGCCTGTGCCTGTGCCTTTGCCTGTATCTGTGTCCTGTGCCTGTATCTGTGTCCTGTGCCTGTGCCTATATCTGTGTTGTGCCTGTGCCTGTATCTGTGTCCTATGCCTGTGCCTCTATCTGTGTCCTGTGCCCGTATCTGTGTCCTGTGCCTGTATCTGTGTCCTGTGCCTGTGTATGTGTCCTGTGTCTTGTGCCTGTGCCTGTATCTGTGTCCTGTGCCTGTATCTGTGTCCTATGCCTGTGCCTATATCTGTGTTGTGCCTGTGCCTATATCTGTGTCCTATGCCTGTGCCTCTATCTGTGTCCTGTGCCCGTATCTGTGTCCTGTGCCTGTGACACACAGATGCACAGCATCGCAAGTTATAGAAGCCTCGCTGACTATGCCCTTACACTGTGCTGGCCCTTGTCAGCCTAGGTGCAGGGCTCAATCCGCTTCCACTCCTCCCAGAGCCTGACTGCTCTGCACTCCTGCATGATGACCCAGAGGCTCAGCCTCAGGACCACACCCAGGTCTAACCAGTCCCAGGTCCAAAGGTTAACCCTGGGGTAGGCAGCTCCCCAGGAACACGCGTGAACCCGCATAGTCCCCAGGGCACCGATCCAAGGACCACATGCCCCGAACCTGAACTCGGGAAACTTTCAGAAGCAAAAGTTCCTTTTCCAGGAAGAATCAATGCTGACAACCCAGTCCCACCAGGCCTGGGTCAGGGACCATTCGGGCAACCCCACTAGGTGACCCTATTTCCTGTGCTTTCTTGCACTCTTCCTGACTCACTGTCCCCTCTTGGCAGGAAGTGGCTAGAGCAGTCATTCCCCCCACCACCACCCATTCCCCAAGGCTGAGGAATGAACAATAGGGGGAATGGAGGGTTGTTGTAACCTGGTCCTACCCTGTTTCTCACCTGACCCAGAACAGGGACCCAGCACATGGCAGGTGCTCAGTGCATTTTGGGGAGTAAATCTCACTGCTGTGAGTATATCCCCAGCCATGCTGCTACAGGCCTGGTGGCCGAGGCGAGGAGAAATACAATCCATGAGTTGATGCAGCTGAAATGAGCTTGGGACTCTAACGAGTGGTTTGGTGCCTTTCAGTAAAAATCCAATAAACGAACTGGGCATAGCCATCAAACTTTCCTAAAGGCTAATAAGTTCAATCAAAACATTTAATGCAATGTGAACAATAAAACACACCAGTTAAAGGAAGTGAAGTTCAATGTGGTGACATTGAAAATGCACGCCACAAACTCACCTCCTGCTGGTTGAGTATTCTCCGGTACTCTGTGCTCCGTGCAAGAATGGTCACTCTCATTTTTCCATCCTGTAATCAGAAGGCAAAGGCAAAATGATGCTTTCTACTCCTGGACGGGTGAGTGAACACCTAAACCTAAAGTGATTTTCACAAAGAGATGAAACACAATAGGATGCATTTATAAAACTTTTTTTAAAAAATGTAAGTCTAGTCCCTTCACTGTTTTCTTTGGGGAATAAAAATGCATCGACTTTGGCCACAGAAGACAAACCAGCTCATTGCATCCTGTCTGGGAGGTGGGTATATTTTTTAGCAGAGACTGTGTGGCTCAGGTGGGGATTTGGGCTGAATGGGGAAATACACAAAAGGAAGAGAAAGAAGGCACACTCTTCCACTCTCCCTAGTTTATCTTTCATACACTGTAGACATCTGACTTCTAACACTCAGGTTCAGAAACTAACACAGAAAACCTTGTCTTCTGAGTACTTCTTTTTCTGCCACGGTGGTTCTGGCTTTTTATCCAGGGTAATAGGGAAGCGCGCCCAGAACCCAAAACGCAGTAAGTCCTCACTTATCTCTTTAAGCAAAATGACACCTAATGAAGCAGTGGTACCACAGGCCAATGAGGTTCCTGCGGCATCTCCTCCACGGGATGAGGAAACGGCATTCAGCGACACGGCATCATTCTAGAACCTGCTGTGGACCCATTACCTTGGGTCCCTCCTGCGTGATGTTCAGTCTGTGCAGCACATGCTGGGAAAACGCCCGGAACAGCCCGGTGCTGTAGCAGCCAGAAATCTAAAAGAATGGGGCATATTACAGTGAGTATTTCTGTTACTATGTCAGAGGATAGCAAGTTGTACGCACATGTTACCTTAAAGATCAAGAATAAGTTCTATAAATATGAATGTTTGCAACAGATGGCACTCTTACCAGAGGGGTATTATAGAAGAGCCCGTATCTCATCCGGGGCAGCAGGGAAAAAACCGCTTCCTTAAAACACACCTAACAACAAAGGCATTTTAAAAGGTAAGAAGAGGCAATCTGTACCCTTCACACCAAAGCAGCACCCATGATTACAGAAAGTGAATTTTAACTAACCCCTATTTTACATTAAAATATTTTTGAATAGCAAACTATTTCATTCAAGTGAAATTTGTGTTTTGGGAAAAGCTATGAAAAAATGTTTTTAAAAGCTATGGAGTTTAACAATGAGGATTCCAGTTGCCAAAAAGGAAACTAAACCTAAGCGATCGATGGTGACAGCGACTAGAAACCTATATGTGTGATGAGAAACTAAACCATAAGAGATCGATGGTGACAGCGACCAGAAGCCCAAATTCAGTCTCTGTGTGATCAGTGTGTCCTCTGCAACGACAAGCATTACAGACATTCAGCGGGTTCCAGTACCCTTTTGGAGTCATAGGTTTTCAGATGGATCACGTCATAATCAGTAAATGCCTTCCACGTGTCAGAGAAGAGGTCCCCATAGCCATAGGTGCTCTGAAAGAGGAAACAAAATAAGTCAGGGCAATAAAATCATTCATTGTGGCTCTTCGAGGATGTAAAACACGCCAGCACACAATCCTAAGCAAAGTCCCGGTAAGGAAACCGGCGTCCACCGTGGGCCTCATTTGATGTGCTGTCCTCAAAACGAATCGCTACAAGTTCAGCCTCAGTCTCCTCAGAGCGGCTGTTTCTCCACCCCAACCCTTTGTGTTTGCATGTCTGCAATGTCAGCTGCTGTGGGCTTTGTTCCTGCGAGTTTTCTATCCATGGTACACATGCACACGACACATACACACACCACTTTGCACACACTCTGATATGCTCAGTGAACAAAACCATTTGGGTAAATATCTTTGGAAATAAATTTCAGAGCAAGAAAAATTCTTTGAAAAGTTTTAACATTAAAAACATAATGTGTGTAACTCTGAAATGATCTACCCATTGAGTAATATGATTACATCCTATTAACATCTAAACTAATAATACATAAATATGTAAACTGACCATACTCTGTGACGCCCACAGCCAATCAGGAGTATGCAAATTAACCCAACAAAGATGGGGGGCCTGTGGGCAGCACTCACATACACAGGCACCAAACAGCAAGGAACGGGGTTGGGTGCCCGCCCTCCTGCTGCATTGCCGGGGTGACACAGTGGGCATCCCCAAGACCCTGCCTGCTCTGAGCCTGAGGCCAGCATGCACACACACCAGCATCAAGCAGCCAGGGTCCCGGGGACGCCACAGGAGTCTCCGGTCCTATCAGCCCAGCTTGGGGGCGGCTGGAGTTCGCAGTCCTTTTGGTTTCTGCAGCCCCTGGACCAGAAGTGGAAATCAAGAGCAAGGGGAGCACCAGGAATTCTGGGAATCGTAGTTCTGGTGGCAGATGCATTGTGGAATCTCCTAGACACTAGAGCAAAGTGAGCCTGGAGCAAGTTACTGTTGCAGGCAAGGGGTGGAGGGAAAGCAAAGGTGAGAGACATAAGTCAGAGTGTCAAGGAAAAATTAAAAGGAAGATATCCTGCAACTTCTAGGAAATCTTCACCAATGGAGCAAAGAAAAAAAAAAAAAAGAGCTCTATTATTCTGAGAGCACCAAACCAGACTGGACTGGGGTCTCAGACAATTCGCTCATATGATTGCAAAGATAGACACAAACTCCCTGATTGGAGAGGGCTCCCCTGAGAGCTCCCAGATTGGAGAGGGTGCAGGTTGGGCTGAAGGACCCACCCCTTGTGCACGAATTTCATGCACCGGGCCTCTAGCTAATAATAAGAAAGATAATGATAGCATCTTGCACGTTCCAATATCCCAGGCACTGTTCTAAGCATTTGACATTATTAACACATTAAACCAGCCCACAGACTTAATGAGCTATGTAACATCATCACCCCCTTTTCACAGATGAGGAAACTGAGACACAATCTGCCTAAACTGTAGAGCTGTGTTTGCAGAATGAGCCCAGGCTGCTTGGTTCCAGACTCCATGTTCACAGCCTGTGAACATGCAGAAACTGGTACTTTCCAGTACATTTACCAAACACATTATATTTTTAAAAATAGAAATTAATTACATGTTTTATCAGCTAAAGGAGGCAGACTAATTTATTTTTAAATTGTAAAACTTAGATTGAAAATCAACCAATAGAAATAAGAAATATCCAAGTCTCAGTTGGTTATATATTATGTTCATGGCTTTTTATCTTTACAGCACTTTTTTCGAATTATGAAATTTTATCTTTATGTTGCACATTTTAGAGGTATTTCAAAATTATTGAGAACTGTTGCCTTGGCTGGTGTTCACAGTGAGCAGCACACCAAAGAGTTTTGGATTCAATTCCCTGTCAAGGACACGTACCTGGGTTGCAGGGAGGCAACCAATCAATATCTCTCTAGTATTGATGCTGCTCTCTCTGACTCCCCCTGCCCTTCCACTTTCTCTAAAAAAAATAATCAATGGAAAAATATCATCAGGTGAGGATTAACAACAACAAAAATATTGAGAATTGTTAAATGTGGTGATAAAAAAAAATTCCTTCCTTCAATGTCTCCCCAATGCCAGTCTAAGAAAGGCCCTTCTCAACACCACCAAAAGTGAAATATCTCTGCCGAAATCGGTTTGGCTCAGGGGATAGAGCGTCAGCCTGCGGACTGAAAGGTCCCAGGTTCGATTCCGGTCAAGGGCATGTACCTTGGTTGCAGGCACATCCCCAGTAAGGGGTGTGCAAGAGGCAGCTGATATATGTCTCTCTCTCATCAATGTTTCTAACTCTCTATCGCTCTCTCTTCCTCTCTGTAAAAAATCAAATATATATATATATATATATATATATATATATATATATATATTTTTTTTTTTTTTTTTAAGTGAAATATCCCGGTTCTGGCTCAATGCCTTATAATAAAAACTAATATGCTAATTGACCAAACTGCTGAACAACCAGTTGCTATGATTCACACTGACCACCAGGGGGCAAACACTAAACACAGGAAGAGCTGCTCAGCCAGAAGCTGGGCTCACGGCTGGCTGACTGGCTGGCTGGCGAGCGCAGCAGTGGTGGCTGGAGCCTCTCCCGCCTCAGCTGTAGCACTAAGGATGACCAACTGCCGGCTTAGTCCTGCTTCAGGGCCTAAGCCATCAGCTGGACATCCCTCAAGGGCTCCTGGACTGTGAGAGGGCAGAGGAGACACCCTCCCTGAGTGCACCGGGCCTCTAGTGATAAATAAAGGGCAATTAAAAGGCATGACTAGACAGTTTCTTGAGATAAATATTTCAGATAAAATATTATACTTTGAAAGGAAAATTTAATATAATACAGTACTCCTGAATAACTTCTCTTCAAGGAAATCAATTAACAATCAGAATAACCACCCCTAGAAGCTTTTTTTCCTCGTCTCTCAATTTCAAATTATCTGCAACAGATAAAGGAGGGACTTCTGTCTAGTCTCATACTGAAGAATATTCGGATATTCATACCACTTCCTGCTGTTTACATCTCAAATTTATTTAAACATGCACAACTTAGAATTTCTGGGAGGAAGGTAAGATACATGGACGTGGGAAGGATGTTCACTGCTGCACTTCAGTAAATAGCGAAGGCCCGGGAAGGACGGCAGGTCTGGGCATGGGCTGAGGCATGCACCCCACCTCACACAATGAAAACGAGAGCCTGTCACGTCCACATAGGAACAGGTGTGTGTGCCATGACACCAGGGAATAACGTGAGTGAGGGCATACTTTCCATCAGGATATATTTACATTTATTCAAAAAAAGTCGTACAAGATACCCGCATGTGTTAACTCAGTTACCTTTAAAGAGAATGGAGAAGAGGAAGAACTTACAGTGCTATTACATGCTTCTGGTGGTTGGGATTCATTATAACCAGGTTTTACTTGTGTAATTAAAAATAATGATGTGCCCTAACCGGTTTGGCTCAGTGGATAGAGCATCAGCCTGCAGACTAAAGGGTCCCAGGTTTGATTCCGGTCAAGGGCATGTATCTTGGTTGCAGGTACATCTCCAGTGGGGGAAGGGGGGTGCAGGAGGCAGCTGATGGATGTTTCTCTCTCATTGATGTTTCTCTCTCTCACTCTCCCTTCCTCTTTATAAAAAAATTAATAAAATATATTTCTTAAAAATAATAAAGCTGCAGTACCTCTCAGCACAAGGAAATAAGGAGAGCCTGCATATTCTCCTGTCTTACTCCTCCCGTTAAGAACAGCCCTGCTCTGCTGGGGGCTCTGCAGAGTGCCCCCAGTGTGTCTCTGGAGGTCAGTGGCCTTCCCCATCCCACCAGGAAGCCACAGCCTGAGTTCTGCAAAGACGAGAGGAAAGGCCTCACAGGTTCCGCTGGGGAAACGGTTTGTAAAGGTCAGCACGCTCTGGCCTGCAGCCCGGCCACTTCCCCCTCTCGCCTGGGCACCAGCTCGTGGAGCCCGGGACCGGTGCTGAGGCAGCACGTCCACCGTCAGGGCTCCGGGTCACAGCCAACCCGTCAGAGTGCCGCTTCCTTCAAGGCCTACCCAGCAGGAGAGGACAGCAGTCCCCACACGACCTGGCCACTTCCCCGTGCAGCCTACAGCTTCCAGCCTTCCGTGGGCCTCCATGCCGGAGCGGCTGGCAGGCCTGGCTGCCCGAGAATCAGGGTGAGCATCAGGCAAAGGCCTCTCTGCCCCAGCTGGCAGCTTTGGAATGGATGCAGAGAGCAGCCAGGAGGGAGGGAACATCAGGGTGTCTGCCTGCTGGACCACCCCCACCTGCCTGCCCGACAGCCCAGCCCCTCTGCCGGACACAGGGACCGAGGAGCATCAGGTGGCTGAGCAGCCTGGTCCCCTCACAGCTTAGGGCGTGGAGCCAGCCCCGGGGGCTCAGTGCCCACGAGGAACACAGGGACAGGCACACAGCAAGAGCCCGAAGCTCCTGGGAAGGAAGTGAAGTCTCTGAAGAACCTCCCATCCACTTCCCCGGTTCTGCAGGGACCACGGGGGAGAATAAAGCACTGGCTTCAGGCGCAGATTTGGGCCAGACGGTGGCACAGGAGCCCTGACTCCACCCCCTGGACTGTGTTCTCTGAGGTCAGCCCGGGCCCGGACCTCGGCTTCTCTCCTGTGAAACAGGCTGCCCGTCTGGTCCCCGGTGGCTGTGAGCACGAAGGGAGAGAGCCCCAGGTGTGGTTGTTTAAAACCCAGCACCACACTGAGCGACGTTCAGGGTGCCGACGGCTGGCGATCACAGCCTCCAGCCCTCACCCAGGAAGAGGGAGAGAAAGAGGCAGCATGCCCATTGCTCACAGAAACATTTCCAAGAAGTGAAACTGGTGGCAGCAAAACTGGAGGACAAGGACAATGTAAACCCATGACACACCCATAGCCGGACTCAGAGAGCCAGGGACACAGTCACAGCCAGACTCAGAGAACCAGGACACAGTCACAGCCAGACTCAGAGAACCAGGGACACAGTCACAGCCAGACTCAAAGAACCAGGGACACACCTACAGCCAGACTCAGAGAACCAGGACACAGTCACAGCCAAACTCAAAGAACCAGGGACACCGTCACAGCCAGACTCAGAGAACCAGGGACACACCTACAGCCAGACTCAGAGAACCAGGGACACAGTCACAGCCAGAATCAGAGAACCAGGGACACAGTCACAGCCAGACTCAGAGAAATAGGGACACACCTATAGCCAGACTCAGAGAACCAGAGACATAGTCACAGCCGGACTCAGAGAACCAGGGACACAGTCACAGCCAGACTCAGAGAACCAGAGACATAGTCACAGCCGGACTCAGAGAACCAGGGACACAGTCACAGCCAAGATTTAGGGAAGGATTCCCATCAGACTTAAGGGCAAACAAAGGCCTCCGGAGTGGGGAAAAGGAAAACCTTCCTATGTAGCTTGACATGAGCTCCCTGAAAGTGAAAAAAGTGTTAGCAAAACGATTTCCCTTTCTGCACAAGAACGGGACGCCCCTGTCCGCTGTCTCGCTCTGCTCTCTGGTGTGTCACCTGTGCTCCGAGCTAACATTGCTTATGGTTTAAAAGATGCTTTCTGGTCAGCTGCGCCTGCACCAGAAACCACGTAATGACTCCGGGAACGGACATCTCTCCCTGGGGAGCCTGGAGGCATTGCCCACACAGCTGTCCTGGACATACGAGGGACGTCCTGTGGGACCGAGCACCAGGCCCGCCCCAGGGGGCACCTCCCAGCCCCTGAGCTGTGCGATGTGGGCGGCCAGAGAGTCTCCTTCCAGAAGGGGCAGAGGTGCCTGCAGGCACGCTGAGTCCCCCGCCAGATCGTCTCAATGGACGGGTGCCAGAGGGAGCCCACGGGCTGGAATGCTTAGTCGAACCTGAGGTCACTTCTCAGTGAGAATTCCCACTCCCCGGGTTAGGTCACCTCTCCTGTGTGTGTACAAACTCGTGTCCTCACCACTGTCTCTGTCAGAGGAGTGTGCGGAGCCCAGGGGCTGTGTCGGGGCCTGTGACTGTTCATACACCACATGGTTTATTCTCAAAATGACCCTTGGGTAGAGATTACAGCTTCCTATTTCACAGCGGGGTGCACGGAAGCGTCTCTTGGCGGGTTACCTTGGCAGGTGGAGGGGTCAGTACTGAAAGAATAGGGTAAAGGCAGGAAAAGAGAGAAGAAAGAAAGAAAAGACAGCAGTAAAACAAATAAGCAAAAAGCCGGTGTGGTGTGATGTGCACGCCTGGGGCCCGCCCCGTAGTGAGCTCATCCACACAGCACAGCTCCCCGCCAGCCACAGGGTCACCGAGGTCAGGGGGTGCAGCTCCTTCTGCCTCCCGGGGGCACGGGGACCGTCTTTGTCCTGGGAGCTGCACCTGCCCACACGGGGAGGGAACGCTTCCACTGCCCTCCACGCTCCCAGAGGAAATGTAAGCCTATTGACGGGCCCGCCCATCTGTACACGTACACATACACATAGACAGGCCCGCTCACCTGCACGCCCGTGGACGTGTGTGCGTGCATGTGTATTTGAATGTGGTGTCTTAGACAGTCCCGTGCACCACGGCGGAGCCACAGCTCTGAGGAGCCAGGCCAGGGTGGGAGGAGGCAGCCTACGCACCGTGTCCCACATCACGACGTACACGTCGGTGCTGAAGGAGTTGTTCACGTGTTGTGTGAGGTACAGGTTCAGGAAGTCGCAGAAGTGGTGGTACATGTTCACACCTGGCGTCGGAGAGAAGTCCACGTTAACGAGCCCCACAAACACATGAACAATGTCACTCCACCCCTTCTGTTTGTCACCCGATGGGCTTTGAGCTGAAGTAAATGAGAGGGGGGAAAGTTTCTCCAAACATGACATGGTCTATACTCAGATAATCCTCAATTCACACACTGAGTGCATTCACAAATTCACTTTAAAATTGATTGTTTAGAAATCAGGACTGCATTTCCCCATATAGACTAAGTAACAAGAAATCATTAAGTTCCCAGGGGAAAATCACAGAAGTCTATTTAGCACAGAATTGGGTAGAACCATAGGACCATGAATTAATTTTTAGGATCGTTTATTTTTAAAAATAAACTAGGCTGCACCTCTTCGTCATAGGATTGAAAACAACAACAACTACTAGCATTTGAGTATTTTTTCATTCCTGTCTCTTTTTTTCATACTTACTACTTACAACATTGCTCCTTGGGGAAATATTAGCCCACTATTGTTCATCGTGTTCCAACTGAAGGAGCCTGGACTTTGGAATCAGAGGAACTGGGCTGAGTCCCAGCTCAGCCATTCATGAGCCACGTTCTCTGGCAAGTTCCCGAAGTCCCTGAGCCCCGCAACCAGAAACAGGGATCATTACCCTGAGGTGCCAGCTTTGTGAGAAATGACCCACCACTGCCCAGCCAGGGCCTGGCACCCAGGGAACAAAGGCGACCAGCTGGGCGGGGCTGGGTCAGAGGGATGGAGAGGAATGAGTCCCAGATCCTCAACGCCTCTCCCAGGCTCAGCGTGCAGGACCCAGGATTCAAGCTGGAAATGTACAACTCTGACCAGGATGAGATCCCAGGAACTGGCATTTAAAACATGTACTTTAAAGGAGGAAAAATGTTGACTAATATAAAAACAGTGGCTACTAAAAGCATAAATCATGAACTATTCTGAGTTCATTCCCATAGTGAATAACTACATTGTGTGCCAGAAAATGAGTTTAAAAAAATAAATAAGTTCTTTTTTTTTAATCCTCACCTAAGGATCTTTTTTTCCATTTATTTCTAGAGAGTGGAAGGGAGGAAGAGAGAGAGGGAGAAGGGTGAGAAAGAGAGAGAGAGAGATTGATTGGCTGCCTGCTGTACATATCCCAACCAGGGCTGAGGAACCTGCAACCGAAGTATGCGCCCTTAACCAGGAATTGAAACTGACCCTCCAATCTGCTGGCCAGTGCTCCAACCACTCAGACACACTGGCCATGGCAATACTCAGTTCTTTTTAGACCGTAATTTAGATGGATGTTTGGAGGGACTCCTTTTTCACCCAGAGAAAGGTTGGCCAAGAATATTTTCAAGTAAACAGGAAAAAGGAAATTCTATTTCAGCACAGCCCTCTGCCCAGCCCAGCCCCCGGCACATGGCAAGTCTCCACAGGTTCACAGCATGTGCCTCAGCACAGCACACAGAACAGCACACAGGGCCAGGAGGGTGTTAAGCTAAGGACCATCGCAGGCTCCGTCCTCAGACACCTGCCCCCTCGTGAGCCCTGCTTACTCCCAGCATGCTCATTCCCTCTGGAGAGTGCTCATGGAAGGGAGGCTGGGATAGAGACGTGACCTGGGATGAGGACACAGTACAGTGAGCAGGTGAGGTAGCATTGTGCAGCTGATTTTGTTAGCCAGTTACCCAATAAATTCAATAAAAAGGAAAATAAATGAATGGATCAGCAAATTAAAAATATATATATAACTTCATTAAAACTCTATATTAAAAATAAAAAAAGAGGGGGGAAAAAGGAAAATTGGAAGACAGCATAGTTAGAAGAAAAATGTAGAATAGGAAAGAACTGGCTGATTACTCCCCCTCGACATACACTATTTGCACAGGTATCTCAGTGCACACATTCAACCCTTTTACAGGCAAATCAGAGTTTTCTTAGCCCCTTTCATTTATTTATTTTTAAATATATTTTATTGATTTTTTACAGAGAGGGAGGAGAGAGATAGAGAGTTAGAAACATCGATCAGCTGCCTCCTGCACACCCTCCACTGGGGATGTGCCCGTAACCAAGGTACATGCTCTTGACCGGAATCGAACCCGGGACCTTTCAATCCGCAGGCCACCGCTCTATCTACTGAGCCAAATCAGTTTTGGCTTTTTGCCCCTTTTAATTAGCATAATTTTAAAATAAGTCAGGACATCAAACATAGTCTTTTTATTTGCTCTTATTTAAAAAAGAGGTAAATTTGTCTGATTCCTGAACTTAATACTTCGTAATGTAAGGATTATGCTGTCAGAAAGCTGAACACAATCCATAAATCACTGTAATGCTGACACAGCCGGACAGAGGGCTCTGTGCCGGAGGCCACGCTCAGGAGCGTGGTGTGCGGCAGCGTGACCCTCACCGCGCACAGCGAGAGGCGCAGCACGACCACGTGTCCCTGCAGGACCAGCAGCCCACAGCGTGAAGTGCTTACAGGTTGAGTTAGAAGGTTTACGCATAAACGCGAAAATCACTGTAATTTCAACATTTCCCCCAAGAATATGCTGCAAACCCAACATCCAGGGGAATTTTAAGTTCACTTCCGTCCCGGGAACCATGTCAGAACGTCTGCAGAAGAGGCCACGGCCCTCTCCTGCCCGCAGTGCACTCAGGCTGCTACTTGGAGGAACGAAGCTCCACCTACATCAGGGCTGAGAGAAAGGTGATGGGGACATCCAGCTACAAAGGGATTCATTCACCTTCTCTCACCTTTTGATTCTGAGTCATGGGATTCAAATGTGCAGATTTCTTCTAAAAACCAAAGGTACTGAAGGAAGGGAAGTCCCAACCAGTTCACTGTTTCAGAGAAGAAAGCAGAAAGCAAGCCCACTGTTTAAAGTCACACTGCTTCCCAAAAGGCTACCGGAAGTCACATAAGAGAACACTGCCCTGGCTGGGTGCCCAGGTGGTTAGAGGATCCTCCCAGTGGGCCAAGGTTTCAGGTTCAATCCCCGGTCAGGGCACATGCAAGATTCAACCAACCAAAGCACAGAGAAGTAGAACAACAGATCGGTTTCTCTCTCACTCTCTCTCTAAAAAGCAATCAATAAACTTTATTTAAAAGGAACAAAGCCTCATTAACTAATAAATTACAAATTAACTTCTCACCGGCATCCAATTTCATAAAGTAGACTGGTTTCTCAACCACAACGTCACATTTACCATCTTCTATGGGCCTGAAGTTGAGCTGAGTGTAGCTCTGCAGCTCAGCGAACCTGGAATCATGAATTGGGAGACACTTTCAGAGTGATTCTCCTGAATCTCCTACTGTGATTATATATCCTACTGTAACTGAGCTCTGTCCATTGGGGACTTCACTTCCAGAGCAGCCTCCTGGGAAGCCATGCGGACCTTCCCAACTTACAATGTTTACATAACCTGCTGTCCATTTCAATACTGAGACCAGGAACAAAAATGATTTTACATTTCATTGTTCAGATTATTAGAGTTGTTCCTCTTTCCCCCCCCAAAGCTCCCCTTCACCCAGTTCCCACTCCACCCTCTGCCCTTACCTACCCCCATTGTCCTCATCCATAGGTGTACAATTTTAGTCCAGTATCTTCCTGCACCCTCCACACTCCTTTCCCCCTGAGAATTGTCAGTGCACTCCCTTTCTATGCCCCTGATTCTATTATATTCACCAGTTTATTCTGCTCATCAGATTTTAATTCACTTAATTTTTAGATTCACATGTTGATAGATATGTATTTGTTGTTCATAATTTTTATATTTACCTTTTTCTTCTTAATCTTCTAAGAAGATTAAAGAATACCTTTCAACATTTTATATAATACTGGTTTGGTGTTGATGAACTCTTTAGTTTTTTCTTATCTGTGAAGCTCTTTAGCTGACCTTCAATTCTGAATGATAGCTTTGCTGGGTAGAGAGTAATCTTGGTTTTAGGTTCTTGCTATTCATCATTTTTTAGGATTTCTTGCCACTCCCGGCTGGCCTGCATAGTTTCTATTGAGAAATCAGCTGACAGTCGTATAGGTGCTCCCTTGTAGGTAACTAACTGCTTTTCTCTTGCTGCTTTTAATATTCTCTCTTTGTCTTTTGCTCTTGGCATATTGATTATGATATGTCTTGGTGTGGTCCTCTTTGGATTCCTTTTGTTTGGGGTTCTGTGCGCTTTCTGGACTTATAAGTCTATTTCTTTCACCAAGGGGGAAGTTTTCACTCATTATTTCTTCAAATACGTTTTCAGTATCTTGCTCTCTCTCTCTCTTCTTCTGGCACCCCCATAATTCTGATGTTACTACACTTGAGATTGTCCCAGAGGCATCTTACACTATCTTCAACTTTTTGGATTCTTTTTTTTTTTTTTTGCTTTTCCACTTGAGTGTTTTTTGCCTCTTTGTATTTCAAATCTTTGACTTGATTCTTGTGTTTCTCTAGTCTGCTGTTGGGTCTTTGTATATTTATTTCAGTCAGTGTATGTTTAATTTCTAGTTGTTTCTTTTTCATATCCTTGAGGGTCTCACTAAATTTATCAGCCTTTTCTAGGAAATTCATGAAAAACCTTATAACCATGGTTTTGAACTCTATATCCAGTTTTTTGTTTTCCTCCATTTCTTTCATTTGTGATCTTTTTCTTTGTCTCTGCATTTTTGCTGCTTCCCTGAATTGGTATGGTAGCTTTGTGTGCTAGGTGTCCTATATGGCCCAGTGGCTCGGCCTCCTCAGTCACCTGAGGTGGACACTCTTTGTGCACCCCTTTGTGAACTATATGTACAGCCTTCTTGAAATTAAGTCTTAATTATTGTTGGTATCACTAGGAGAAATTGACCTCCATCCAGGCCAATTGGCTGTGAGGATCAGCTGTGTCTATGCTGGGAGAATTTCTGTACTGGAGACACCCTTATGAGACAAGACTTGCAAAATTGAAAAAGCCTCTGTGCTCAGCTTGGATGGGATGGAGTCTCAGGGTTCAGCAGACAGTCTTGGCTTCCCGTCATCCCTGCCTTATGAGGCCTCTGGGTCTCAGTGTCCCTTGGTAATCGCTTCAAGCACCTCTGAGAGGAAGCCATCCTCGAGTTTCGCCCTCTGCCAGACAGTCCAATTTCTCCCCCAATGAATATGGATTCCCAGATTCTCGCCTGGAACTGGAGTTCAGCACAGTCGGGAGTTTCTGTTTCCCTGCCACTAGAGAAAGCCAGACGCACCCTGAGCAGTCAGTCCTCTCTGCGCATACTCATGTGTGCGCCTCCAGAACTCTGCCTTTCTTGGCTCCCCTAAGTTTCTGCTTGATAGTCCAGATTCCCCAGGGTTTCACCCAGAACTGGGGTTCAATGCAGTCAGAACTGGGATTCAGTGCACTTAGGAGCTTTTGTCTCCTTCCTGCTAGAGAAAGCCAGCCTGGCACTCAGCCACCCTTCCTCTCTGCAAGCGTGCCTCCGTACCCCAGTCCTTTGCAGCTCCTCTGATTCTCCATGTGCTTTTCTCTTTCCTTCTAGTTGTAGAATTTCCACTCAACCAGCTTTCCTGTGGTTCTGGATGATGTTCGTTTTGTCTTTTAGTTGTAGTTTTGAAATTGTTGTGCAAGGCAACAGTTTAGGTGTTTTCCTATGCTGCCATCTTGGTTTCTCCCCTTGTGTTTCTTTTTTAAATGTATTCCCCAAAACACAGCAATTACGAGTTAATAAAAATTCATTATTTTTAACTCATTTTTTTCTTTCATTAGCAAAAAGTACTATATCATACTTTCTAATATCTTATAAACATATATTTAATTCAGTTATAACCAGTGGATTTGCTCTATAGCCATCACTTTCTGAAAGCTCATGCCAAATTATTCACAAATGAAGTAAAACTTTGCATTTGAGATTCCTTACCAAAATCTGCAAGTTCCAGAAATAAAGGCAAATATTTTACAAACACAGTAAAAAAAAAAAATAATAATAATAATAATAAAAACCTCACCAAGACTGCAGGGGGCTTTTGCGCTGACCTTCAGACATCAACGTATGCACATCCAGTTTACAGTGTCCTCCAATCTCACCAGTCTGGAAAACATCCTCCTTAAACCTGGTTGAAAACAAAAAATTAAATTACGTTGGGAAAACTTTTTCAGGACTCAAGCATATGAGCTGTAGCCAAAGTGGCTTACCAAAACCAGTTTTTCATCAGAATTTAACTCTTCATAATAGAACACTTTAAATGTATATAAAAGCAGCAGGAATGGTACAGGAAGGAATCTGATGGACCCAAAACCCAGCTTCACAACAATCAACTTGAGGCCCCATCCTCCACCTGTCCCGGCCTCATTGCCATATCTTTATGAAGCAAACCCAAGGCATGTCCCTGGGCCTGAAAATATTTCAGAATTTCCATTCGATTTTAACATCAACCACGTAAGTACCTGTCATGGCTTCTCTTGATGTTTCTTAAGTCAAGGTAGAGATTGGTTGCTCTGCAATACTGAAGGTAGCGGGAACATACCAGGCTCGAGTCACTCTGAAATAAGGTTGAAAAAACAGCTCTGAGTATGAAGATTCCAAGGACTCCCCCGACATGCTAGACATGTTGACAGCATGTGCACCTTGAGATTGAGCCCCACAGTGTGATGGGGCATGTTTCCCAAGGCTGCTTCTGTTCAGGACATTTCCCTTCGGCCACACAAAGTTTTGCCCATTTTCACATTTTCCAGTAACTAAGAACTCCCATGTTCTATGAATATCACCTCTTGTTAAATAAAGCAAGGGCGGAACGTGAGGTTCAGTCCTCTAAGAAGAAAAGCGTTCAGAACCATCATCACCACTGTATGTGAAAAGCATCTTTCCAAGACAAGCCAAATGAAACAAGAAGAATGCACACAAGACATTGAAACACAAGGCTGAAGGGCCGGGTGCCGATTCCATAAGAGCTGCTGTCTGCAAACATAAAGCTGGTAGGAGTCCTTGTCTCCACGGTGATGCGAGGGCAGTGCTTTCTCAATCACTGACAAGCGAGCTGGCGAGGCAGCCGCCAGAGCCTGCTCCTGCCTCTGCCAGTCTGGTCTGTGCTGGACGAGGGAGTTTTCAGAGCTTTATCTGCTCTAGATTCTATTTCTAGATTAAATGCCATTTGTTTTTCCTGTAACGCCCATGAACACCAGGCCTTGACCGGCACGGTGTTCTGGAGTCCACCGCTGGTAAGGGATCAGACTGTAAGAGCACAAAGCAATGGGGGTAGATCTTGGCCAGGAGAGCATTCTACACACTGCCCGGAGGGTGCCAGGTGGGCCGTGGCTCTGCCCCGCCCTCTCTTGACAGCAGACTCAGGCAGAGACTGGGTGGGTGAGATGGCACTGGCTACGGGCACAAGAGGCAGTGTGGGTTCCACCATGCTCCCTGCAAGAAGTGCCTCGTTCTATTATGTGACAGCCTCCAAAGCTACCGAGCACATGCGAGTGCATTAAAAAAAAAAAACATTTCTTTAATTTCCTGATTGCCTGCAGATCCTGGAGAAGCCTGAGATATCCGAGGTTGGCCAGGGTTCAAGCACATGGGGAAACAGACCCTAATCATAAGTGCCTACAACTCCCTGGACCTTTGCTTGGACTGGGGCCCTGCATGAGCGTTTTCATATACAGAATCTCCTTTCATCCTTACTACAAGCTCTAAAATAGGCATGGTTCAAAGCAGAAGAAATTGCCCGGCCAATGTGGCTCAGTGGTTGAGCATCGACCTGTGAACCAGGAGGTCATGGTTCAATTCCCAGTCAGGCACACACCCAGGTTGTGGGCTTGATCCCCAGTAGGGGGCAGGCAGGAGGCAGCCAATCAATGATTCTCATCATTGACATTTCTCCCTCTCCTTTCCTTCTGAAATCAATAAAAATCTATATATATTTTTAAAAGTTTAAAAAGCAGGAGAAATTGGAATCAGGATTTGAACCCTGCAGTGTGGGCCTGTCCTTCTTCTGACTGCCCCCCAGACCTGCGTTCTAATTCTGAGCGCACAGTCCCCGCAGCAGCTGCTGGTCTCACCGAAGCTGCTTTCTGTCCCTAAGGACCCGCTGCTTTTCTGCCCGCCTTCTGCCATGCCTGGGAGAACCCAGCCAGCCCACTTGTCCAGGACAGCTGCCTGCTAACTGTAAAGTCCTAAGCAAACATGAGCAGCATGGTGAGGTGTCTCATCTGTCCCAAACTACTTGCAAGCAAATTTGTAAAGGTTCATTTTATCAATTTTTCTTCTTTAGCACATGTTGGGGGAAATGCTAATCCTAGTGCTATTTTATATGGCCATCTGATGTTTGTGTGAAAGTAGGACACGGTTCCCAAAGGACACAGAACAACTTGTTTTCAGAAGTTAAAAGAGTCTAAGCCAATAAACAGGCGGGAGGAGGAGTCCTTTCTCAGGCCGTCCGCCTTGTCTTCAGATCATGATCTAAACACAGGAGCATCCTATCTAATAAAACAGTAATATGCAGATTGACCATCACTCCAACACACAAAATCAAGATAGCTGCCCCCATGTGGTCAAAGATCCTGCCCCCATGTGGACACAAGATGGCCACCACAAGATGGCCAGCAGGGGAGGGGAGTTGGGAGGCACCAGGCCTGCAAGGAAGGGCAGTTGGGGGTGATCAACCCTGCAGGGGAGGGGAGTTGGGAGGCACCAGGCCTGCAAGGGAGGGCAGTTGGGGGTGATCAACCCTGCAGGGGAGGGCAGTTAGAGGTGACCAGGCCGGCAGAGGAGTGAAGTTGGGGTCAAACAGGCTGGCAGTGGAGCAGTTAGACATCAATCAGGCTGGCAGGGGAGTGGTTGGGGGTAATCAGGCTGGCAAGCAGAAGCAGTTAGGGGTAATCAGGAAGACAGGCAGGCGAGCAGTTGGGAGCCAGCAGTCCCGGATTGTGAGAGGGATGTCTAGCTGCCCATTTAGTCCCGATCCTGGTGGACATCCCCCTAAGGGTCCCAGATTGGAGAGGGGAGAGGGTGCAGGCTGGGCTGAGAGACACCACCTCCTCCCCCCCGCTGTGCACGAATTCCGTGCGCCAGGCCTCTGGTGGTAACTACACCGCAGCTCACCGCCTGCTGGGGCCGGCAGAGCTCCCGCAGCTCCCGCCTCCGTGCACCCGCGTAGCCGAAGTCCGCTTGCTGCCAGAAGGTGTCCCGGGCTGACTCCAGGGTATCCGTCCTATTTGCAAACAAAGATTTTCCGTCACTTTTTTTTCTTTTTCTTTTTTCTGAGAGGTGAATCTTCTTTCGAACGGTTAAATTGCTGTACGTTTTTCATTAATTTTTTAAGTAAAACGATCACAATTTTCTTAAAATGATCCTTTGCTAGATGAAGAAGTTACCAAAATACAAGTCACTTAAAATGCAAATGCACACATAAACGTATTTAGGGTCATCTGGAACTGGACTACTAATGAGACTGGGTTACTAATTACTGTATTTTACTTACTCCATTAGCCTGGCATGCATTTTTACTTATTTTATTTTTCCATCACCATTTATCCCGTCTATGCCTCTCCCACCTCCACCACACGCCTCCCCCCGCACCGTGAATGTAAGGATTATAGTCACTGTGGCGGGGGACTCAAGATGTTAAAAATGTTTAGGCTTAGGTACAGTTAATAGTCTTGGTAATCGATGCATGTAGAGGCTGTTGTTCTAGGGATTGGAACATAACACCTGCCAGCAATCCGACCCCGTGCCCCCGGAGGACTGCGCGTGGCCCAGACACGTCTGAACGAGGTGCTCCCGGAAGGGAACACCGCGGCCTGGGACGCTGATTGCTGATGGAGCCACCGTCAGCAGGTGAGAGGATGCTCAGAAAATCGCAGATGCAGCTCCAGCTGGCTAACCTTTTCCGCTGAGTTCCAAACCTTCACCTACACTTCTCTTCTCCTTGTAAAGGGGTTGGCTTGAGATGACAGGTAAGACCATCTTTTTAGGGTACACAACCCGCAGCCTTCTCTGACGGCAGGCCCTCTGAGTAAAGCACCCATAAAGACTCAATCCTCACCTCTGCCTACTGGTTCTGGTGGTGACCGGCAGCACAAACACCGACTTTTCCAGTTTCAATTAACTTAACTTCCCCCTCCGGCATGGTGAGGAGGACACCAGCGTATCTTCCTGACGTCTGCTGGGGGGAGTAT